GAAGAAAGACAAGAATCAGGTAGAGGGTGGGTGAAAAGTGCTTAGTGACCTGGGATGGCAACTCTGGCCCCGGGGTTGCACTTGACTTCTAGTAGAGCCTCGTGTCTGTTGTTATGCTGTGAAAACACAGCGTGGGAGACGATCACACAGCCCTAGTGGGAAGTCCGAAGGTAGACTCGTTCATCCCTTAAATTTGTACATCTAACTAACGACTCTATGTGGCATTTTCATTAGTCACCAAACACTAACAGCCTATGTACCAGACACTATGCCACTGATAAGACTGGAGAGTTAGACAGAGACCAGAGTACTATAGCTTGGACCTGGCCTGTACCCTGTAACACAGTCTTTATTGACAAGTTGACTGAAGTTAGAATCACCAGGTGACATACTTCTGGATAGTTCTGTGAGGCTGTTTCAAGAGAGGTTTAGGGCCAGGGGGAAGGTCCATCCTGAATGCAGATGGCACCATCGTATGGTTTGGGTTTCAGATAAAATAAAATGAGACAAGATGAAGCTAGCTGAGAACCGGAATTCATCCCTCTGTTTCCTGACTACATATGCTGCGTGACCAACCACCTCACAGTATAGCTGCCATGCCTTCCCACCACGATGAACCGACTGTCGCCTCCAACCATGAGCTGAAACAAACACTTAAGTTGCATGCTTCAGGTATTTTGTCATAGCAAAATTCACTCTAAAATTAATTGTCATAACTAATTAAATTAACTGTTCCAAGGCACATATCCATAAGACTTGGTTTTGGGAGCTGGCAGAATCTTTAGGAGAGGCCTAATCTTTAGGAGAGGAAGTTAGGTCATTGGAAGCATGCCCTCAACAGGAACAATGGGACCCTGCTTTCCCTCTCTTTCCCTAGGTTGAATCATGCTAGGCAGGTGCTATATCCTGCTTATATTTTGCCGGCTCCCTACTGGTTGATGATTAACTGATTGATTTTGACACAGGTTATTACTAATTTATCCAGGCTAGCCTTGAACTCAATCTGTCAACTAGGCAAACTCTGAATTTGTGGTCATCCTGCCTTACCCCACTGAGTATCTGGAATAACGGGGCTGAACCACCAGACTCAGATTTCAAAATAAAAGGACATATGGAAAGACCTGTGTGGAGGAGGGGCAGGAGGGGAATGGGCAGCTTGCAGGTGAGAGGCCCAGCCTGAAGTGAAGCAGTGGGAAATGACAGGAAACAGGATGGTGTGAAGGATATCCACACAGTAAGACTGGAGGGGGAGGGCATTATGGTGGGCAGGGCATGGGGTGGTCCCTAGAGTGCTGGCTTCAGCAAGGAGACAGAACCTGAAGACGACAGGTGGTGAATTGTCATTAAGGCTAAACCATTTCCTCTGGTGACATCTGCCTTCTGCTGCTAATAATCCAATTCTAGAGGGGAAAGGAGCTTCTAAACTAATTGGTGACCAGTAAGGGAAGACCCTTAGGTGAAACAACAGGAGCGATGTGGAAGTCTTGACCCAGTGATTGGCAGAAAAGAAAGAGTCTGGATAGTTTGGGCTCAGAAAAATGTTCCTGTGTTACTAAGCCCCAAGCATCAACTCTGCATCTTTCACTAGTGTTTCCTTCTGACACGTCCTTCCACACAGCACTGGCTAATGAAGATGGCCTGGTTTCAGTGCCCTTTGCCTTTTTTTCATACCTTAGACCTTATGAACAGAAGCCAAGAAGGCCAACAAAAAGACCGCACTTGGTCAGACAGGGATATTTACTGAACTTGTAAATGTGGACTCTCCTGCCACCCTGAAGAGGGCCAGGTCACTCTACTGCTGTCCTGAAGAAGTGAAGAGCAAATTACTTCCAAGGAAAAATGCAGAAACAAAACTTCTTGGTGGTCTACACGATTGTCGTCTAGGGAGAAACTGAGAGCACTATTACTTTTCAGGGTTTCCATGGGCAAAAACTGGGGAGAAGGGTTTTAGTCTCAGCACTCCCTCTCTTTCCCCTCCCCACTTCCAGATCTCCATGAAGTTTGCAAGTGGCACAGTGTCTACCAGGATAGGTCTACCTCATCACAGATCAGAAACAATGGAGGTAGCTGATGATGGACTGAAACCTTTGAAACAGTGAGCCGAAATAAATCTTTTCTCCTTAAACCTTTCTCCCATGTATCTGTCACAGTGATGGAAAGAATAACACAGCTCCCCAGGTGCCGATCGTTCCCATGGGAACCTAAAAGGAGCCTGTGCGTCTGGTGCTGGGGTGTTGAGGAGTGACTGCCAGGACCTGCCATTCCTGTATCTCTGCCTGGCAGTGGAAGAGCAACTCCTGGAATGGTTTGTTGCAACAAGCAGGCTAGCCTGGGCTCACCTTGGGTGTTACAAAATAGGTCAGCTGGTTCTCCTGGTAGCAAGGCAGTCTTGCATTGATGAGCAGTCCAGATGGGGCTTTGATAATCCCTGACTTCTCTGTGTAAATCCTCTTCCTAGCAGGGAGTGAGCAAGGAAGAGCACGGCAAGCTTCTCTGATGAGGGGTCCTGCAGGCCAAGGGTGGTGGCGAGAAGAGACCTTGGGTTGGAGGATTGGGTGAGCCTGCCCCTTGGGAGGGTGTGCACTCACCAAGAAGCGGGAGTAAGCCAATGGTGACAAGCCTAAGAGTTCACAGCCACTGTGAAGTAGAAAAGGACCAGATAGCATGGGTCCTAAATGACAGCCTACATCACGGGGAGCCACTGAGGTGAGTGCTGTGGTCTAAGAGCTATGCATAATAATTATCTGGATAAATGATATGTTAGATCAGTCTGAGCTCTCCTGTGTAGCTGGGTCTGAAATGTCCCCCAAAGAGGTGACTGTTAAAGACTTGCTTCTCGGCTTAGTGCTATTGGGAGGTTGTGGAACCTTTAAGAGGTAGAACCTAATAGGAAGGCTTTAGATCACTGAGGTTATCGCCACAGGGATTAAGAAAGCCTGGCCCTTCCCACCTCTGTCTTTCATTTTGTGACCACAAGGTAAGCATTTTGCTCCACGTTATTCCCACCATGACCATGAGTTATCTTAGTACAGGCCCAGAGCAACAGAGTCACCAACCGTGGACTCTGAATCAAGCAGTGAATCAAAAATCCACCTTGTCTCTGTCTAGATTGCCTCGGGTGTTTGGTTAATGCCGGTGGTTGGTGGTCTAGTTGCTTTTGTTTCTGTAATGATGAGATAAGGTGGCGGGGGCATGGCAGAGGAGGCTGACTGGCAACATGTGGCTCTAGCTGAGCCTTGGATTTGATGTGGATGTTTGGTTTTGGAGAGAACCGTAGGTATTACTTTACTAAAACCAGTACTTAATACTTGACTGTGATCATAGCTATTACTTTACCCTCCTGTTCCACGCTTTTCTCTTTAGACAGGTTTCACGACAACTCAGATTGGCCTCAAACTCAAGATCTTCTTGCTTTGTTTGTTTGTACGTTAGTTTTAAAGATGTTTCCTAGGCTGGACCCAACTTCTGGCCTCCAGAAATCCTCTCTCCTTAGCCTCCCCAGTTACTGGGATTTCTGATGTATATCACCACATTTGGGTTATAATTTTCCTTTCATTTCCATGTGTCCAAACAAGAACTTCCCCAAGGCAAGCAGAACTCAGTACTGTCTCGAAAAAAAAAATGCTGCAGGATCCCTGACAGTGGCAGGCAGCAGAAATGCTGTAGGTCCCCAAGCAGCTGCAGGCAGTGGGCCATGTGGTGGCAGGCAGGGGGCAGCGGGACCTGAGAGCAGCCAGTCCTAGGCAGGTGGCAGGTGAGAGACAGCCAGATAGGCATGTCGTGCAGGGTGAGGTTGGATATTTATTTAGTGCTTATGGAAGGGAGGGGAGAAGAGGAGAAAAGGAGAGAGAGAGAGAGAGAGAGAGAGAGAGAGAGAGAGAGAGGAGAGAAGGGAGAGATAGAAGCTGCCTCTGAGAGGGAGATAGTAAAGAGAGAGAACTCAGGCTGAAAGCTGAAGATCAGCCTGTCTCAGCAGATGGGGGAGAGAGTGGGCGTGGCTTGTTTCTTAAAGAGGCAGAACAATCATTACAAGTACAATGGATGGGCACACAGCATCAGGCAGTTTGGCTAGGTACATTCCCAGCCTTTGGAAGACTTCAGGCTCAGCCCTTATTAGTGTTCCAGGGGACATTTGTGATCTTTTCCTGATACTCTAGGTCCATCTGAGTTTTGGGGGGTTGACCCTGTCTTTGATTTGCAAGGGTGATATGAGGCCAAAACTGCCTCAGTCACAGAGCCAGATGCCATATTTACAATGACATCAGGGAAGTCTGACCATCCAGATCGAGTCAGCTGAAGCCGGTAGGACTCAGTTCCAGGCCTTCTATTGCAGTTTGGGGGGTTGTAAGGAGGGGGCAATTTGTTGATTCCTGGCTGCTTAGTCCCAAAATGATCACACAGAAACTGGTATTAATTAAATCACTGCTTGGCCCATTAGCTCTCACTTCTTATTGGCTAACTCTTAGATATTAATTTAGTTGTTATTCTCAAACCCTAAGTTTGGCACATCTTGCCCTATGTTGACTCTAGTCTATAATGTGGGATTCCCCTCTGTATGCTGTGACTATCATTGGTTAATAAAGGAACTGCTTTGGGCCAATAGCAAGCTATAGGGGAACAGAGCTAGGTGGAGAAAACTAAACGGGATACTAGGATAAAGTATTCAGAGTCAGAGAGAAGCCATGGAGCCGCCATCAGAGACAGATGTGCTGAAACTTTGCTGGTAGGCCACAACCTCATGGTCATGCACAGATTAGTGGAGATGGGTTAAATTTAATATGTGAGAGTTAGACAGTAAGAAGCTAAAGTTAATGGGTCAAGCAGTGATTTAAATAATATAGTTTCTGTGTGGTTATTTTGGGACTAAGTGGCTGGGAACCAACAAGTGGCTCCCTCCAACAAGTCTAATGCTTTTGATTTTATGATACTCTTCCATGTATGCCCTTACCCTGTGTGATACTATGATGCACCAAAAAAGTCAGTTTGGTCTTCATTCCCAGGTCCTGGTACTGAGCTCCTAAAACCCCTTGGAATTTCCTGAGTGGAGGAGGTAAGTCTTTCAACCATGCCCCAGTGAAAGCCTTTAAAGATAGGAGCTGGTTGCTAAGGGAACCAACAAATGAGGCTTTGCACCTTCAGTTCTCTACTTCTTGGTCAATGATTTCATCAGTCAGGTCTATAGAATGTTTGAAATGCAATCTCATTCCAGTTTGAATCTGAAATGTCCCCATATACTCATGTTGGATACTATGTCCCAGATAGAAACTTCAGCTCCCTGATGCAGCTCTGGGAGGTGGTGCCTGGCTGAAGGCCGCAGGTCACTGGGGCCGGACCTTCAGGGTTTTATCCCTGGATAGTTCCAATCACTTGCGGCTTGTGGGCCCACTGTAACATGAGCTGCCCTGCTCCATGGTCTCCTCCCTACCCTAGTGAGCTGGATCCCTCTGAAACCATGGGTCCTGTTATTTGTTTGATTGTTTTCCAGGTATTGTGAGCAAAGGGATGTGGAAGCTAGCTAATATTCTTCATAAAGACCCTTAAACCACAGGCTATGGAGAGCTTCCAGGTTGGTGAACACAGAGGGACTGGGAGGGTAAAGACCCCAAGGAAACTCACCGCCCTTCCTGTGTACCTGACTCTATGCACCCACTCCTTCTGGTTGTTCCTAGTTGTACCCATTATAATGAACCAGTAACCACGACCAAGCTTTCTACTCCAAGGAGGATGCAGGGAGCTTTTGATTTATAGCCAGTCGGTTGCAAGTTTAGTAGGCCAGTATGCAACCTGCAACCTGCGGTAGTCTTGTGGGGCCCGGGAGCTTGTGCTACCTCTAGGAAGCCAGTGTGAAGATCACTTAAACTGTAGGACACAATTGGATGGTGTGGGAAAGGACTCCTCTCTACCCAGTTGGCATCAACCCTGAAGTGTATGTGAGTACAGAGAAAGGCATCTTTGGTGCCTTGGAATAAGATGTAATGACTCTGTTTCCTTTCTTTCTTTGTTTTCTCACGATGGCCCCCAAACACCCTTCTGTTCTTTCTAATTCAGCTTCCTTCACTGGTACCACGCCTCCTGCTAAGGCTTCGCACACTATCCTTGACCTCTGAGCCTAGAGTCTAATGTGGCCACCCAACCCCCATGCTTACAGGAGGTGTGATTCCGCTGGCAGCTGCTTGTAGTCCCTGTGTAGGGAAAGGAAGGGCGGGCTAGAGGGAGACTGGTGGGTGGAGGAGGCCTGTTCCTCCTCTGTCTCCATAGGTGAAGTGTGGGCACATCTGGCCTCTCCACGGCCACCATGGGAAGGGTTGTGTTGTGGCCTTGACCTTCTATTGTTTTTAAGCAGCTGTTAGCTGAACAAAAGACAAATGAAGACTTTCTGTGGTTGACATTGAAAAAATGGCTGGCATGTCAGATGGTAACTCATTTAGGAATTCTCATTCATCAAAACAATTCATTTTTGTTTGAAGAGGCGAAATAAGCAGTTTCTCGCTGGCTTCGGTGTCAGCCTCTCTGGCCGCACGTGGCTCTGGTTTATTTACAGTAAATTTTATTCTCAAATTCTAAGAGCTTCGGGGGCCTATTTGGAATATTTTAAGTCAAATTCAACTGTTTTACTTAGATAAGTCCATAGGAGTTCATTTTCCTCTATATTTTTTTTTTACAATTCTAATCACCAAGACTGGCATTTAATCATTAAGAGATGGGAAGATATACACCAAGTGTGTTCTTTATTTTTTTTTCTTCCAGAAATTGAAATATACCAAAGAATTTGAATCCATCACTGTACTGTGCGTAGGAAAATGGTTTCCGGGTGGCTTTAAAATGCTTTCCTAATGGGAGGAATTGTTTAGAGTTTCTTAGAATCCTGAGCCCTAATTAAATTTTATATATGTTCAGTTGTTAAATTTAAAATCTGTCACTATAAGGCATGTGTAGTTGGTGTTTGTAGCTGTGTTTGGTGAAGTACCACAGAAATCCAACTCTACACCTCCCCGTTAACAGGTTTTCCCTCAAGATTCTTTGGTCAGGGATATTTCCCAATAACTGGTCTTACATTCCTCATCTCCCAGGCTTAATCTTCAGGAAGTCCCAATTCTCCTTCCGTCCCCTGCAGCCTCACTGCGGCAAGCCCAGTTCCCCTGTCAGCCCCCTCAGTGCCGGCTCTCACCTGTCACTATTATTTTCCTTTCTCCCTGGGGAGATCAGGGAGAGGCTCAAAACCCTGGCTGAGATCAGGTGAGTGTTTCAGTGTGCCAGCAAACCAAGAACAGTGAGAAACAACATGCGCCAGAGCGATGGGAAACCGGAAACTGGAGTGTCACGAGGAAGAGCCTCCTCTCACCTCCAACCCCAGGCTCCAGGAAAGATTTCCAAGAGAAGCTAGAGCTTTAGACTTTAGCATAAAATCTCTCCATTTTAGAAACTGCAGTTCTTCAGAACCTTGAAGATCAGCGTCCTCCAAGCTGACAAATTCCCCATCGCGCTAGGGAATTCTTTTACTTGGGTGTTAACATTTACAAATTGTTGAGATACTGATTTTCGTCCCTCCATGTGCTTGTCCAGGGATCTTGCAGGTTCTGGTGGTCATCTGGCAAACTCCTCATGTTGGGAAGCCTGCTGCTCCTCAAATGGCCTCTCCAGGCACAGAACCAGAGCCCCTGGGGAAGCAAGCAGAGTGAATGGCTGCAAGTTTCTCTGGGTGTGATGGTTTCCTTTGACCTCATGTCAGGGTCAGGAAAGCTAAGTAAAAAAGAAAAAAAACCCACACCCATGAACAATGAACATTCACATGCAGGGACAGAGAGAGAGAGAGAGAGAGAGAGAGAGAGAGAGAGAGAGAGAGAGATCCACACCCATATACCCATGCATATTCACATTCAAGCACACACACATGTATACACAGAAAGAGAGACATCCACACCCATATACCCATGCATATTCACATTCAAGCACACACACACACACACACACACACACACGTATGCACAGAGAGAGAGAGATCCACACCCATATACCCATGCACATTCCCTTCCAAGTGAACATACACACACATGCACATATGCACGCACACACTATTTCCTGGCTCATTTTCTTCTCCTCACCTGCTCTTGAAGCTCGTTTTCACCAGTAAAAACATACCCTCTGTCTAGGGAGTAAAGGGAGGGTATTCTCAGTTCTCAGTTCTGCCCTCCCCACACCACGTCAGCTGGCCACTCCAGCAGGGCCTGGAGACAAGCCCTTTCCCAGGGCAGCTACCCTAGCCAGCCCCTGGAAGCTCCAGAGAGGGTAGGATTGGCTCATCCCAGGCAATGTTTTCCCTGGGGCCCTGGATCAGGCTGATGCCCTTGTCCTGCTTACCCCGAGTACCCTCCTAATGCCAGCTATCATCTCTAGGCCTCCCAGGAGGAGCCGAGTTCTCACTCACCGAAAGCCCTTCTCCTGCGGTACTGTCCCAGTTTCCAAAAGTCTGGAGGAGCTCTACACAAAGTGCTCTACAATCAGGCGTGAAAAACCCCTACAGATCAGCCAATCTTTTTAACATATAGGCAAAAATGGTCTTAGAACTGTGTTCTTGTATGTGAGGGGCACTGTAAAGAAACTCCCAGCATGACTGTTCCATTATTGTAGATGTGAGACAGATAGAGACGGGGGTGGGGGACATCCAGGGACATGCCAGGGCTAGGGAGGTGAGAGAGAATGGTGCAGATAATGAGATGGCAAGAGATAGAGAATAAAGGAAGGAGGGAGAGAGGAAGGGAGAGAGAGAGAGAGAGAGAGAGAGAGAGAGAGAGAGAGAATAAGAACGCAGGGATAATGGAGACTAGCAGGTTATAAGGAGAGTGAGTAGCTGGGAAGAGAGAGGAGCCAGGAGACGGGCATGGGGAGCCTGGAGGCCGGCATGGGCTCTGATATGCAGCCATAGGAACAGGTCAATGGAGCCATATGTCCCTTCTGCCAGAGGTAAGGAAAATGACTCCTTTTGGCAGATGGGAACCAGTTTCACAAGTTCCTGAGTGTAACATGAGGGCCGGCTTGTTGGGGTTTCTGTTCCCGCCCGGTACCCCACAGCCGGCAACTCCCAAGGAAAACCAATCACACAGAGATCTCTATAAGTTATAAACTGATTGGCCCATTAGGTCAGGCTACTTATTAGCTCTTATGACATATGTTACCCCATTATCCTTATCTACATTAGCCACATGGCTCAGTACCTTTTTCAGCTGGGCAAGTTACATGCTGCATCTTCGGTGGTCTGTGCAGGAATGACAGAGGGAGCTTCCTGCTTCCCAGAATACCCCCAATCTCTTTGCTCCACCCCTACTTCCTGTCTGGCTTTCCCGCCTATACTGCCTGCCTGGCCAATCAGCGTTTTATTAAAATACATGATTGACAGAATACAGACAATTCTCCCACACCACCTGAGGAATGCTGGCTTTTATGTAGTTGCCAGAAATCCTATAGTCTAGCTTGAGTTCGTTTCTGGATACTTGAGAAGCCTGAGACCTAAAAGTTCTGGGGTGTGGGGGTACTTCTAACAATCAAACTAGATCTTGTCATGATGCTCCAATTAGTTCATAGACCCAGTCATTTACTGCAGTAATTCTAGGGCTTGAATAGCATTTACATAATTGTTTTTGTTGCAGTGGTTTTACTGCACGGCGATCTGCACATGAACTTCAGCACTGCTTTAGCATTTTTGTAGTTCTTATCTCATTTTCACTTTAACAAATAAACCCTGTGGCTCCACCAGGAAAACGCCAGCTCTCTCCTATCTCCTTTCCCAAGTTAGCAATGTTTTTTATTAGGTTAATACTGAACTCACCTATTCATCACGAAGAGCGGGCATTTGGGGCCGCATTTGCTCCTTGTCTCGTGTTTGTTTGTAAAGTTCATTGTGTGGTTTCTAATACGCTTTCCAGGTTAAACATTTCTAAATTTCAGGTAGTCAAAATGAGTCAACCTCGTAGAGCAAAGAGTATATGATAAACAACAAAAACAGGCTCTCACAGTTCCCCAGGCAACGTATAACATGGTAACCGTGAATATTTTACAGACAATATGTCACAGCCTCAGCAATCTGGGAAAGGAGGAAGCAGAAGAACTGGGACCCGCATGTATCCAACACCCCAACCCCCCACTTTCAATGTGGGGTCAAGTTTCCAAGAAGAGCTACATAATGGTGTCACCCTAGCTGGTCTTCCCCCCCCCCAAATATTTGTTTTATGTAATTTGCTGAACATTCATGAATATTAGCATGAATAAGATATGTGTGACTATTAAATAGACCTGGTAATCAGATTTCTTTGAGTTTTTCTCAAATTCATTTACTCTTTGTGACATTATCTTTGTGTGGTGTGTGTGTGTGTGTGTGTGTGTGTTGAATACTATGGGTGGTACTAGTGGAGGCCAGAAGAGCGCATAGGATCCCCTGGAGCTGAAGTCTTAGGAGGTTGCAAGCTGAGAACTGGACTTGGGTATACTAAAAGAACAACAGATGCCACCGAGCTCCGAGCTGCCTCTTCAGCCCCTGGGCTTCCTCTGAGTAGACAACAGCTCTCATGTCAGGAAGACTTGGAGGCTTGTCTGATGATGCTGGCTGTTAAATACACGAAAATCTCTAAGGAAACTCTCCTGTCGAGTATTAAACTATGATACTGGCTGACACACACTTTTGCTCCCTCCCTGTGACTTCTTCCTCTTTTTAACATGGCCCTTGACACGTGCACAGGTGGTCCAAGTTTACAGTGTGATTGACATGTGCACAGGTGGTCCAAGTGTACAGTGTGGTTTGCTGGTTGTCATTCATCTGACCGCTGTATTTATGATAGTTCCCAGATAGTAGATCAAAGACTAGAATTCTTTTCTGGTGTAGGATGATTTTTTTTTCCTAGTTAACATGGGGCTGAGTCATACACAGAGAAGGGTAACTGCGAAGGTTTGTGCAGTGTTCTTAGCGCTCTGCCACTAGTTCAGGAAACAGAAAATCCACCAAAGTGAATACAGCTTTTTAAAATGTATTACCTCTCCCAGTGGCCAAAGTTGAAATAATTTTAAAAGCAAAATAAAACAGGGTGGGAGATAATACAAAGCATGATGTAGTGGGATAATCTTTTTGTACACTGTGGAGATGTGTCTCTGCCAAGGCTTCTTCTGATTGGTTTAATGAAGAACAGAATGACCAATAACTAGGCAGAAGAGGATAGGCAGAACCTTCAGGGAGACAGAGGAACTCAGAAGAAGATCCGAGAAGCAGAGATTTTGCCAGCAAGATATGGAGGAAGTTGGACATACAGTGTGGAGCAGAGGTAGCGAGTCATGTGGCAGAATGTAGATTAGTATAAACTGGTTAGTAAGTTTTAAGAGATAGTTGGGAACAAGCCTATGCTAAGGCCAAACTTTCATAATTAATAAGAAGTCTCCATAGATAATTGAGTAAATGAATGAGGGAGAAAAGATAATTCTCCTTGGCAGAAGAATCCCAAACACTTTATGTCAATAGTCAACCTTCGGGGAGGTGAAACCCAACTCAGCATACTTCAAGTGTGGGTTGAACATAGTAACTACCATTTCAAAAGGGCAGTGTGTGTGTGTGTGTGTGTGTGTGTGTGTGTGTGTGTGTGTGTATAGAGAGAGAGAGAGAGAGTAAATTCACAGTGAAAACCATGATAGACTGATAGACGGGGCTGTACTCTGGAGGTCAAAGCCAATACCAACAGTGATAAATCACGTTGTAAGTGTGAACCTGCTAAGGTCTGATTCTTGTGTGTCCCTTAACTGCCCATGTGTTAGAAGCTTGGTGTCCAGCAAGAAACTACTGGAAAGTGGTGGAGCTCAGAGGGAGGGCTTTAGGTTATTGGGATCATTTTTGCAAAGGTTAATGTGAGACTCTGTAGTCTTCTTGCTCTTTTTGTTTTTTGACCATTGTATGCTAACTTGTGATGGGTCCCAAAATCACAGGGCCAGTTGATTTTTGTGGTATATTTAATTGAACTATGACACCCCAAGACTGTGTTAATAATAAAAGTTAACCTTGAAGTGGGTGGAGCCAGTGACTAGCTGACTGAAATTAGCCATAGAGAAGCCATAAATCCAGATAGAGAAGACGCACAGGAAAGAGTAAGGACGGACTTAGGGATGTCATGGTCTCTTTGATCTGGGAACTGTGGAGAGAAGGATAGCTGGTCAGTCCTCTGATGCTTTTTTGATTGATCAGGTTTTCACCCCAATATTTGACTCCCAAGTCTTTATTGGTCATAGAACAACTTAGATAAACACATCATCTGGTACCCCTTGTTGGGTGCCAATTGTAGTCAGACTTTCTTTGGATACCAACTACCAAATAATGACATGGAGACTTCTTATTATGAAAGCTTGGTCTTAGCTTGGGCTTATTCCCCATTAGCTTTTAAAATTTAAATTAATCCGTTTGCATTAATCTATGTTCTGTCCCATGGCTCATTACCTCTCCTCCATATTGTACATCTGACTTGCTCCATGTCTCACTGGCAAATCCCACCTCTCTTCTTCCCAGAGTTTCTGTCTCTTCTAGGAAGTCCCACTTATTCTCTCCTGCTTAGCTATTGACTGTTCAGCTCTTATTAGACCAATCAGAATGTGCCTTGGCAGAGACACATCTTCTCAGTACACAAAAGATTATCCCACAACAATTGATCATAGACTGAAACTTCCAAAACCACAAGTCAAAATAAAAATTTACACTTTGCACATTGATTTATCTCAGGTGTTTGTTGCAGTAATAGAAAGCTGACTGACACAGTACCCTTAATTTAATATGATCAAGATGACATTTTACTTTGTGCCCTTTCTTTCTCAAGCTTTATAGCCTCAGTATAATAAGAAGAAAACTCAGTCTAACCCCAGGAAAAAAAGACATCCTACAAAATTCTTTCTGATAACCATTAAGATTTCCAAAATCATTCAAAATGAGGGAAATTTGAGAACATGCCACACCTCAGAAGAGTTCAGGGGGATTTGAGTACTAAATGTAATATAGTGTGCAGGGTGGCATCCTGAGACAGAAAAAAAGGACAGTAGGTGAATCTAAAGACATCTGGATAAATTCTAGAGCTGGTAATAATATATTATTATCAGTTTTGAATTGTAACAAATGTACCACACTAATAGAAGGTGCTAATACTAAGGGAAGCTGAGTGAGATGTGTGGGGACTCCATAGTCTCCACACAAAGGTGTAACTTTACTTTTAAAGGTGCTTTTTCAAAGGCTATCACCTCCTCAAGAAGAGAGCAGATGAACAGGAGCCAGCTGTTTTGAGAGATCAGCAATAACAGTGACTCAGATTCCCAATGTGGGCTCTCCCTAGTCTGTTGGTGTCTCAGTTTGGAGTAGATGGGCACAGTATGTGTGACCCATGAAGACAAGACATTTCCCTTTAGGAGGACTGTAACTAAGTCTCCAGGAGCCCTCCCTGGAGACCACAGGCCAGAACGTGTGACCTACATATTCTGGAATCCATTACAGACAGGATCATCTCAAGAGCCTCTAAAAACCAGGGTTTCCCCTAAGTCTCATATGGTGGCCTCTGAACCTACTGGGCTCTTCTGTCCCCTTTGAAGAGGCTGAGAAACTAAAGTACAATACAGAGAACCTTAGACCTGGGGTGAGAACACCTGGATTAGGCACTCCAGAACCCTGAGCATCTAAAGTCCCTTTGATACCTGAGGCATCAAAACGGCCCCTACATCTATGGGAATGATGAACAGAGTTCTGTCTCCAAAGTGGCAGATGGCCCTTTCCCACCTCAGAATCTATCCCAGGTCCAATTCTTATCATATAAATGTCCAGAATCAGGTGATGTGATTAAAGATGTATCTGCCTTGGCAAGTGAGGAAGGGGGCTGCATGCTGACAAAGCCGTGGAACTAGCTGGCATGCACCCAGAAAGTGAAGGCGTATATAGAGTAGGACCTTGAGAACTCTTGGTTAAGGGGAATAGAGTGATTGTAGTGAGGGGCTGCGGGCAGGCCTGCTTTTCATCCTGCCCGGCTCCCGCACAGCTAGCTTAGCCCCAGAAATAATAACACACAAGTTATATTCATTTAAACACTGCCTGGCCCATTATCTCTAGAGAGTTAGTTACTGACTAACTCTCATATCTTGATATTAACCCATTTTTAATAATCTTGTGGTAGTACCACGAGGTAGTGGCTTACCGGAAAAGATTTAGCATGTCTGACCTGGTGGCTGGCTCCATGGCTTTTGGCTCATTGTCCTCTTTTCAGCATTTTATTTTGTTTATTCCGCCTACCTAATTTTTTGTCCTATCAAAGGGCCAAGGCAGTCTCTTTATTGACCAATGAAAATAACACAATAGACAGATAACCCTCCTCCATCATTTTTCCTTTTTTTGTTTAAATAAAAAAGAAAGGCTTTTATTTTAACATAGTAAAATTACACATAACAAAACAGTTATCAAGCAAGAATTACAGTCACAATATTTATAATTATATCTTTATCATAATAATGGAAAACTATAATTATGACTATCCATTTTTCAATTTTATCAAAGACTCCAGAAGGATATATTACCTAAGTAAACAAGAAGTAAGCAACTTCCAAAACTCTAGAAATGACAGAGACATCTCGCTGCCTGGACAGTCATCCAAAGTTCCTCTGTATCGTTGGGGCATCCATTTTTGGCCTTCAGGCCCATAATATCCAGAGACATTCCCATGAAGCAGGAAATTTTAAAGGCAGTTCAGTCACTATCTGTTGTGTCCTGTAGAATGTCTCGCAGACTCTTTTATGAATCAAGAACCTCGAAAGATCATCTCACCTTTAGGCAAGTTTAGCAGTCCTCTCTCTGCGGGTTCTCTGTGTCCAGTTTATACAACAGTCCAGGCAAGAGCAGTTTCTTGCCCAAACGGCTAACCAACTCCATAAGGAGCCTCTTTGATGCCCATCTTCCTCTTGAAGTAGATTGGTGCTGCCAGGAGCAGACGTGTCTCATTGTCATGAAAAGTCCTAAGTTATTAAAACATTAAATGCCATGTTCTGTAGTCTTTGAAAGATATGAATGTCTATCTGAAATATATCTGTGTACTTTTAGAAAATCAGACTAACATTATTATAAGCTTGACTATTATCGATATTATCCATTAACAACCTATATTTTTTAATTATATATTACATTTTTAAAATGAACTACACAATCACAATACATCAGTCAAGATCAGAAATATATATACATATAACAAAATTGACCTTAAAATCCATACCAATGAAATTATTCATATCTATATCATA